CGAATGATTATCTATCAGTTTTTCTTGTTCGAGCCTAGAGCCGTCGAGAGCATGCTCTCGACCCAGTCTTTTTCTCTCGGCCGGAAACTGCGTTACTAATTAATTATGTCATAAATTAACAAAACTAAACATTAATAATATGCTTCTCAACATTCCCCCTCTCCACACTGAAGTCTAATACAACAGTGTGAACAAACAATGTCCAACTTTAATTAAATGTCAAAATATTGACTGTCCGATATTACACGTCCAACGGAATTAGCTTGTGTATGGGCCTAATATATGTCTTTTGGCCACATTGTACTTTCTTGTATGTATGTCCGTCCTTCCCGGGATTAACATCAATGATCCGTCCTAGCGGCCAATCTCCCCGCGATAAACCTTGTTGCATGACCAAGACCACATCACCCACATTTAAATCTTTGACTATTTCCGACCACTTCGCTCTTACCGTCAACATTGGTAAACATTCCTTGAGCCATCTCCGCCACACCAAAGAAACCAAATACTGTACCTTTCTCCAACGCTGTCGAGGATGGCATTCTTTACGAATTTCTGATTCTGGCGCGAACTGTCCGCGTCCTTGGATGGTAACGAATGGCTCAGCAAAGTCGATACCACACTGATGGAATGCACGGTACGTGAAACGTAATCTAAGTTTCGGTAAAGGTGCCATTATCTGGAGAGCTGGCTTGCTGCGTCGTCTTTTGCGGTGATTACACTGATTTTCCCATTCACGTATCTCCTCCCCCGCTGCGATGATCCAATTTTTCTCGTTAGTTTGACTTAAAATGAAATTCACTCCGGCGTTGTGGTTATCTTTCTCGTGATAATCCTTGACAATCAGCCTTGTGATCCAGTGTCTTCTCGGAAGTATGACTGGATGGCGTACGTCGTACGGTAGCTGTTCTGCGAATTTAAGGCGTCCATCTGAGCGAATTAAACCGGCTTCATCAATGGTAGGATTTAACTTGACAAGCGGACTGGTTTTTGGCACCGGTTTGCCACTCTTGACGATGTCGTAATCCCCACGAAAACCTTCTTGTTGAGCCAAACGAATCGCTTCCTCTTCCGCTTCTTGGAGTTCATCAATTGTAAGCTCTGAGTCCGTTCTTCTTTGATCACCGTTTCGCATGTTGTAAAGTGCTCTTCTCACTCGAGCAAGCACTCTAATGTACCACGACCAACTTGAAAATCTCTTTGGATCAAGTCTCCATTCTTCGTCTTCTAACTTTCGGCTGTTATCTTCATTCTCTTGTGCATTCGTTGCCAACACAACTCGGTCGTTCTCACCTTGACTCGGGCTAATTTTGCTCTCCGGAAGCTTGGCTGGACGTTTCTCAAATTTCATTCTCGGCCATTGATCCTCACATGTTTTCTGATATTCGTTAGCCACGATGGGATTCTTTCGCAGATTTCTTTCGGTGGAGACCAAGCGAGATTGTGCCATCTGACGGTTGCTCGGCAACTCTGGTCGATCACTTCGCCAAGGTACACCAACTTGGTATCTGTAATCCAGTGTTTGCAACGAGCTCTCGACCTTTCCAAGGGCTAATTTCTCATCTTCGGTCATAACTTTTGCACAAACTTTGTCGGTACCAGTACTTTCGATTTCCCAGAAGTTACGCATTGTACGATCAAGGTCTGATCGGTGGCAGAATAAATTGATTTGATTTGATTTGAAGGTTACAACACTCTGTCAATCTGTTCTCCGGATCTGCCGTTTTGGTATGCAGTGTTCTCGCCAGATGGGATCTTGAATGGTGGTTGGTATCTTTAGCAGCGGACCCAATACATGTCCAACCGAGCGGGCCGAGACGAGCTACTGGCCCTCCCGAGGGGCCTTGGAAATCAACAATGGAGAAGTGCAGATCAGGGTTGTCCACACCAATCAGTAAATCAGCAAACCCATCTTTGGCTGACGTAGCAAAATTGCATTGGGAAAGATGCGGCCAGTTTGACTGATATTGACTCCAATCCACCACTTGATAGCTCCCTGTAACTGCTCTAGGACAGGTTTGAACATTTATGGTTTTAGTGAACTGGCGATCATCACTCTCTAAATCGATCTGCAGCGGCATTGACCTGAAGGTTTCCACAGAATCGTTTAACACTCGTACTTGTACAGTTTGCCAAGTAGTTCTCAATCCAAGGAGGCCAGCAACTTCTTCATTCATGAAAGATTCATTTGAGGCGTCATCTAACACTGCATTCACTTTCACCTTTTTTCCATTAGCTTTTACCCAAACTGGAACTGTTCTCAATGAGGTTGCCTCTGGTTGCAATTTGGACCGGTTCGATGTCATAGTAAGATTTGTCAAACTCTCTGGCCCCTCCCGTGAAGGATCCGCCCTCTCGTCCGGAAGTACAGGACCGGGTTTCCTGCTTTGGGCAGTGTCATGAAGTAGTCGGTGGTGAGTGAGCTGACATCCATCAACATCACATGGGCGAGTCCGTCTACAATCCTTTCCACGATGCTCATTGGATAAACAACGAAAACACAGATACTTTTCTTTTGCAACTTTCCACCGTTCTCCGACTGTTTTCTGTTTAAATTGGTTGCAATTCCATATCCCATGGTTACCCTGACCACAGAAAACGCAGGGTGGCTTGGTTCTCTCTTCTCGTTTTTCTATACGGTTTTGAAAGCGGTCGTTCACTTCTTTTCCAGTAAAGTATGACCTTGGGCGACCTTCATCAGGTTTTCCTCTCGGGAGTCGTCGCTCAGGTAACAGTTTCTCATCCAAACCATGAGCCATTTCTTTTGCTTCAATCTTGATTGCCACTTCTTCTTTTAACCAGTCACACAAACTAGTAACTGCAGGTTCTTTGTTATGAACGTTTAACCAACGACTGTAACACTCTAAATGTCGATCATGTAACTTCCGTACGAGTTGACTGTGCAATGTTCCCTCTCCAAGCTCTGCTTGTCGGTTTTCTGCTTTCAGCTTCACAACCGCTACTCTCACTAAATCAGCAAACCTTTCAAAATTGTCCACATCATTATAACGCAGTGCTGGTATACTGTCTAACTCATCCATGTAAGCTCTTAAGGCCCATTTACACGATACGATTAGTTGTATACGATTGTCATTCTGACGAATGAAAACGAGTGCTAATGCCACGTTATTGCTCATTCGCTGATGGCGAAATTTGAAATGTGACGTTTGTACGCGTGTTTATTCGATCACATACGCCAGAGTAAGAATCGTAAACAACTAATCGTACCGTGTAAATGGGCCTTCAGTTGCCGACGTTGCCCACCAAACTTTGTCTTAAGAATTTCTTTCGCTTCTGTGTATTCAGGTTCTGATACCCCTAGACCTCGAATTGCATCATGGGCTCGGGCGGTTAAACTTTGCTGTAATCTTGCCATTTTGAGATTGATGGGTTCATTTGAAGCATCTACTAAACTCAGAAACAGGCTCCAAAGTTCTTCAAATTTGGCCTTGGTACCACCAAAAACAGGAACGCGCAAAGCTTTTAGGTGACGATTAATTGCTGATTTACCCCCTTGCATTTGGGGTGAAATTGGGTAAGGAAGGGTCGTAGTCTGGGTGCCAAGTGGAATTGGGCGGTGGTAACTAGGGCTCTCATAAGAAAGGGTCGTAGTCTGGGTACCAGGTGGAATTGGGGTCTGGTAACTAGGGCTCTGATAAGGAAGGGTCGTCTTCTGGGTACCAGGTGGAATTGGGGTCTGGTAACTAGGGCTGTGATAAGGAAGGGTCGTAGTCTGGGTACCAGGTGGAATTGGGGTTTGGGAACTAGGGCTCTGATAAGGAAGGGTCGTAGTGTGGGTACCAGGTGGAATTGTGGTCTGGTAACTAGGGCTCTGATAAGGGAGGGTCGTAGTCTGGGTACCAGGTGGAATTGGGGTCTGGTAACTAGGGCTCTGATAAGGAAGGGTCGTAGTCTGGGTACCAGGTGGAATTGGGGCCTGGGAACTAGGGGTTGGGTCCTGGTGACTAGGGGTCTGTACTTCTGTTTGCAAATTGTTATTCGATTCGGACGATAAATCATTTCCCCCTGTGAGCAAAACTGGTTCGGTGTCGACTGGGTTGTCTTTTTCTAATACTTAGGGTGAGGCAATTAACATCTTTTGTGCACTGTCTATAGTCTGCTGTATTTCTAGCTCTAAGTTATCTGATTCTTGCATAATTTCTTTGTGCAGTTTCATATCATTCATCTGTAAATACAAGCTACTCATTTCGTCCATTACAAGCTGTGTTTCCTCTAAAATTTCCCTCAATTCACTTACGCAATTTTCGATTTGAGCAGTGTCTATATTTCCGTCCTTTACACTGCATAATTTTTGTAATTGATGTTTAAGCTTAGTTGCCTTCATTTTACGGGTTCTTTTCTCCCTTCTTAACTTCAACAGCATCTCCGCATGTTGTTTCGATGAATAAGACTGACTTTGTTGTTCGCTTTCGACCACATTACCACTGTTGATACCGGTAATATTGTTCTCAGCACTCATATCAACTTCGATTTCGTCATTTTCTTCGGTTGCCATACTAAATATCTGCTATAAAAAACGGTTCTTTCGGTTGCCACGTCCTGGCAGGATCGCCAAATGTTAACTAGTCTCTCCGATTATGAATAAAGAACAATATATTTTACCAAAAAGCTATAAAAGTGTACATCTTCGAATGATTATCTATCAGTTTTTCTTGTTCGAGCCTAGAGCCGTCGAGAGCATGCTCTCGACCCAGTCTTTTTCTCTCGGCCGGAAACTGCGTTACTATTTAATTATGTCATAAGTTAACAAAACTAAACATTAATAATATGCTTCTCAACAAATGATGTTCGAGAATTTTATTCGGGATTTGTTTTGGTTTTTTTTTCAGAATGAGTAACACTCTTTCTGGATTTTGTTGATCATATACAGTAGATTAGATTCGATTCGTTTTGGTCATTGCTTATGATTAACTTATAATTTAAATAACTATGATGGAGCAATTGAGCTTGATGTTCAAAGAAGAAGTTAAGGGAGTAGTATATCACTCCATGGTTCGCGGGATTTTGGTATCGCTTTTATCTTACTCAAAATCAACAAGTAACAAGAGATTACAAAACCTTTTCAGATCTATGTGTTTATCTATACTCGGCCCGTAAAACGGCAGCCAGCAAGAATTTGAGCGCGCAATTAATTGATGATTATCTACTGTAATATATGATATTTGGATTTTGTATATTTTTTTCTACTTGCAGCTTAGGCAATTATGTTATATGGGTGTGATTGCATGCTTGCTTGTGAATTATGGTATTTGGTACCAGACTTTTGTAGGTCTTTCAAAATTATCCCTTCCCCTAGTGTCCGCCACTGAAGTATTTCACTGTAACAAATTTTCAGAGAGAAATGCATAGATATCTTATATACACTAAAGCCCGTTCTCCACTAGGCGAATTTATTCGCGCGAACAGATAAAAAGTAGGAAGCGATCCTACTTTTTCGCCGCGAATTTTTTCGCCGACCAATCACGTTGCCGGATTTCGGTTTTCGCTTCGCGTCGCGCGAACAAATTCGCGTAGTGGAGAACGGGCTTAAATAGTGCTTCTAATTATTCTGCAATTCAAAAATTGAAGCCATGATATTGCAGACTCAGGATATTCCCATGAAATGAGAAGACTCGTATGTTTTCTATTTCTTAAACAGGGAACTTAAACATTAAGTTAAACTTATTCCAAAAACATTTTCAAACTATTCAAATGATGAAAGTTATTGTTGTTTTTTAAGCGTTTATTAGCGAGTAGGAAACTCCAACATGGCCGCCATCTGTTCAAATGGGGGTAACCGTTGGAATATTCTTGGCTTCAATGTTACTAAAAGAGATGCACTATCTAGTTTATATAACATATCTATGGAGAAATGTTGTTAGTCTTTTGTTATAACAGGTATTGAGAGTGAAATAAATATAATATAATTGTATTGCAATAGTGTTACGAAGGAAAGGACGGAGATAATCCTGCAAGGAACAAGAAACAAGACAAGTTATGGCGCTGACGTCGTGTGGCAAGAATATGAGTTTAAGTGTAAACCTGGAAATGTGAAGCGACGTCCTTGTCTCATATCACCTTATCATTACCGTCTTGATTGGTTGATGTGGTTTGCTGCTTTTCAGGTAAAATACAGAGGAAATTAGCTACTCAGCCCTTGTAGGTCATATCACAACACATCATTAGCCATAATTGTGTGTCTTCCACCATTTTAGATTGGCTAATGTTTGTATAGGTATTACTGTATTAGGATGGTTTCGAGTGCAATTTGGGAAAAATATGCACGAGTGAGTTTTTCAAAGACTATCAGAATCTTGTACAGTATGCTTTTCAAATTGCACGAGAAACCATTCAAAAAAATTATGCAGTCACGTGCGTAAGTCACATTAAGAAAATTAAGAAAATTTTAAAAAATAAGAAATTTACACTGTACTGTATTTCTTTTTTTTTAATTGCACTGTATTTCGAAGAAATTGCACTGCTTTTAGCCAATCAGAATTGAGAATTTTTTTCATGTATATTATTAGAAGCTAAATTAGAACATACATGCACGGTAACATACATCCAGTAGCTGTCAAAATTTCGCAGGTTTACTTCGGTAGAGCTTCTGAGCAGTTTATCGTATTTATTTGCCTTGCTTAATTCAGAAAAGCATATTTTTCTGGCAAATTGAGACAGTCCTTTCCTTTGCTGTTCGTTATTTTTGCATGACGTAATATTCCCGCGTGACTCATGCTAGAACTGAATACAATCATTACAGTATTCTAATCTCGTCTTTCTATGTTGTTATTGACCAAAGGTTTGTTCAGTGTGAGACAAAACGACTAAAAAGTTAAAGTGTGAAATACTTGCCTTAGAAACATCCCTATACAGTCCTTGAATGAAAATATGAATAATCATTTTCCTGCAACATTTTTCATAATGCTAATCCTTGCCAGGTTATTTCGGCTATATTTATGTGCAAATTCGACCATACTGTACCCTTATTCTATATTATTTTATTTCAGAATTACCAACATAATCCATGGCTGGTTCATCTTACTGCGAAACTTCTTGTGAACGACCCTGGTGCGACATCTCTCATTGCTCACAACCCATTTGAAAATGGACCTCCACCGAGGTTTGTATTGTATGTATGTGCATGCGCACGTGCATTGCATGTTGTAGCACGTGCATGAATGGTGAGGCAAATTTCGAAACCGTAGACAGTCGGGCATTCGAGATGATTGGACCACGGGCTTTAGGACAAATTCAATTCGACAACAATAGTATTCTATCTAAATAGCAGTTAAAATAAAGTGTACGGCACCTGAACTGTTCTATATCTTGCTTCTATATCCATAAAACATTTGCATATATGCAAATGCTGTATATTTTCAGAATCCGCCATATTTATTTACATTAGAACCCAAGCTTTCGCGGTTCACACGTAATATTAACGTGGGTGATTTTCACTAATAATAAGAGGGTAGGATTAAAGTGGGCGTTGTCACTCGCTAACCCAATCAGCTGTCTGGGTTCTGTACCACGTGACCTATTCAAATCGTTCCGAGCGGGAGGAATCTTATGACATCATAACGGCTTCGATAAAATAATTTTGGGGACACGTTTGTGCCATATAAGGAAGTTGGGGACACGTTTGTGCCATATATGGAAGCATGGTTTCCTCGCGCTTCAAACGATTGAACAATTGGATGATCCTACCCTCTTATTATTAGTGAAAATCACCGACGTAATATTTCGTGTGAACCGCGAAACGGCGAAAGCTTGGGTTCTAATGTAAATAAATATGGTGGATTTTGAAAATATAGAGCTTTTGCATATATGTAAATGTTTTATGGATACAGAAGCAAGATATAGAACAGTTCAGGTGCCGTACACTTTATTTTAACTGCTATTTAGATAGAATACTATTGTTGTCGAATTGAATTTGTCCTAAAGCCCGTAATTGGACCCTTCATTACTCTACCGGTTGTCCAAAAAAACTGGACACTCTTTGATTTCATGCAAGTTTAAAGCTATAAAAGCTGTCGCAATGAAATAAAGATCATTGCATTCAGAAAGGACTAAGTTAGATTTTGATATTATATAGCCTTGAATTTACATGCAATATTAAGCGAGACACAGCTGTTTGAATTTGGAATGCGTTTTAGGAATTGCTGAAATCCCGGTAAAAAATTAGCTAATTAAACTAATTTCAAACATTGTTTTATGCTAATTTTTGGCATTTTCAAAAACAGTAGTTCAACGTTCAAACATCAATAGCGCAGTCAATATTGCATGTAAATTCAAGTGCCATACTGTATAATAATCAAAATCTAAGTTAGTCCTAGCCCGCGTGCAGACCCAAGGGAAGAATAGTGGGCCTGCAAGCAAGGCCCGGTATTTTGTACTTTCCGCGTTCGCCCACGAACGCGGCGTTCTGATTGGCTGTTTGCTGTTGGATTCTATAATTAGATCAGTGATCACAAAGGCTCTCGATAAGCTTAAAATTCGAAAATTGATCACTTTTTTCGATTAAAAATGGAACAATTAAGAACAGACTGTTTATTGTTTACTTGAAGGAAGAGATGTTTTTGCCGTTATGCCAATGGGGATTGCTTGTCGCGAAGTGTTGGAATAGCAACATTACGACTGCCGCCCGGGGTAAACTATAGTAACCTTTACATTAGTTTCATTAATAATTTCAAACAGACTTGATACGTTATATGTTCCTCAAGAAAATTATCTTTTGGTTGATGTTGCACTGAAGAAAACAGCGCTTTTCGCGGTGAAGATTTAGAGGCAGTTGCATGTAAGCCTATTCGAAACACTTTGCGATTTACAAGGCATCGCTGAGAGAGCGAAACAGAAGACGGTAATTGCCGTTTGAAACGAAACGATCTGGACTCTGAACCCTTTTATAGAGTTCTTTAACTAATGAAATAATTGAAATAAATTTCGTACTTTCCGCCGCCAAGAAGAACTGCACACACGATCTGATAAGTGAGACAATTTATTTATAACAATTGCGACAGCGAAGCACACATTAATGCTAATGTGGTCGCACGACTTCCCTCACGATTTGAATTTTGAGACTGGTTTTCCGTTGAAATTCGTCCTAATTTACCTGTTCCGATTTTAGTTGAAAATGAGCACAATTACTGACTGCGTTGCTTGCTTTTTTGGAGTTAAAACACAGCCATTTACACATTGTTTCTATTTTGAATATTAAAGCAGAGAAAACCCAAAAAACAATTGACGCGCGTGTTATGAAAAGGGGCGTTTTATAAAATGCCAGGCCTTGCTTGCAGGCCCACTATCCTTGGGCCTGCACGCGGGCTAAGTTAGTTTTTCTGAATGCAATGATCTTTATTTCATCCCGTAGCCAACTGCGTTCCGGACGTAAGCCCTGGGCGAGGGTACTGATTCCGCAAGGCTATTTACACCCGGGGAAGGGAGAGCATCGGCGAAGTCTAAAGTTCATCAATAATCGCGGGCGCATGTGTATGGGTGTTCATCTCACTGATCTCCAAATATTGCTGTTTGCCAGGAGTGAAGGAAGCAAACATATTAAAAAACATTAAGAAAGCTTGGAAAATCGTTTCACATAACAAATTGTAAAATATTTTTTTCAATTTTTAAACGTAAACATTACGAATTGATTTAGTATGAGAAAATGTATGACTTTGTATTTAATAATATCGACTTTGTTCTTGTTGTTCATGTCTTTCCTATGCATTGCATGCGAAAGTTTCTTAGTTAAATTAACAGTTTTGTAGAAGTTCATGTTAAAAAAAGAAAGCAATATTTTCCATTAGCGTCCTGTATGAATTAAATTTATTTCATTTCAAAGTGCGAATAATAAGTTGAAGCTCGAGTTTATCGGCAAAAAGCAGTTAATTTCAGTTCACATTTAAAAACGTTTTACGAAGAGTTTCGTGTTGAATTTTACATTCAATAAAGCCCTTAGAAAGCAAAATAATATACCTACTTTATATATTTTGGAAATTGATAGTTCTGTATTTAAAAGTGTTCAAATTTCATCTATTTTTTTCAGTTTTGTACAAAAAATTAAAAAAAAACAATTATCGTGTTGCCATGACTAACATGACGTGAGCAACGCGAGCCTGCGTTCAGTGTTGGCGTAATTACGAATACTTCATGTTGAACCAATGTTTGGAAAATATAGGTGAGGGGTTGTTGGATACATGTATTTCTAGTTATCTATGAATGCTGTCACTTGTGACGTATTTCACCATATTTTACCGCGCAACCGCTAACTGGAAACCCGGACGAATTCCGCATATACAGTAGTCACTGTCAAAAATCATTATCCGATGGATAACGCTATCCGCCCTTCGTACAACTGTCCTCTGTTGTAAACAACCGTCCCCTGATGTAGACAAGCGTCCCCTGATGTAGACAACCGTCCCCTAATGTAAATAACCGTCCCCTAATGTGAATAGCCGTCCCCTGATGTATCTAGATAACCGTCCCCTGTTTGAAGTGAAAAGGTTTGACAACAATGAATTCTATCGAGTGGGATGTTCAAAATCCGGATATTTACCCACACACCTTACATTGGCATCACCTTTGTATATTTGCATGAACTTATGATTAGAGCTCGACAACTGGCCTCTGTAGCTCAGTTGGTTAGAGCGCTGCACTGGAATAGTAGAGCCACAGGTTCGATTCCTGTCAGAGGGCTTACCCTGTATAGTTAGATTTATCGCAACTAGCTCCTGGTTAGGTCTATAATAAATGTATAGAACTGCCATTCGAAATGTCCATCTATAAACCCTTCAACAAATAGTTGTATCAAGTGAGCTGCTCAGAATCCTGAAGTGAATAAACAGCTTTTATACTGAAAAGAATCCCAGCAAGTCTCTAAGGTGCCCAACGTTCGCTAAGGTTCACCATTGTGTTGCAGATATATCCGTGCTGAACATTATCTTTACGAATTCACAAAATTTGGCAGTCGAGACGCCCGCGATGGGAAATGGTGGTCCAGACGGAAGATTGCGACATATTTCCATCCCATTTCCATGAAAGACGTGAAGGAATATTTACGCAATCAAGGATGGAAAATTCCTAGAAGTTAACTATTCTATAGAGAAGCAGTCAGAGTGCGTATTCCCACGTACGAAAGAACGTGCAAATCCTTAAGGCTCTGGGTATTCTCACTCTCTCTTTCAGAACCATACTCAGAAATAAAGTAAAACTGTCTGTACCAGTGTGGGTAGTACCAGTTTGAAATCGCTGTGCTGTGTGGTTATATTACTACCTGAAATAAACAAGCACAAATACGACGTTTCGAGCGAAGGCCCTTTGTCAAGAGTTAGGGAAATAAAGTAATCAATCTACGGATATTATCTAGTGCATGATTGTACTCAACCCTGCTTGTGATAAAGTTAATAAATCAAAGCACCTATATATAACTTTGATCTAAACTTTAAGAATTTACTAGGAAAATGTAAAAATCAAACATTTTATTTAACATTTGAAGATTTGAAATCATAAGTCGCCTCAAACTGTATAAATAATAGTAGCGTGACTTGAAATTACCAAAAGATACTCCTGCCTATGATCTAAGCAGCAGACGGGACTATCAACCCCAATTAAAAACATACTAAAAACGATAGGCGGCAGATGTAAACATGTATATCACCCCGCTGATTTATTAATTTTAAGCTTGATTTATCACAACGCGCCTTTGGTTGAGCCTTCGCTGGAAACGTCGAGAAATGTATTTTAGATTGATTAGTAGTTGACGAGAACTGTCATAGTCAGAGCAGCTTGTAATATCTCAGTTTACTTCAGTTTCTTTTCCAAGTTCGTACAAACGAATCAAGCGCTCTATACATATCAGTGTGAGTGAGTGAGTGAGCTTTGTGAGAAGAAAGTAACATGCAAGTGCGAAAATGCAATACAAAACACTTCCCATGAATAAGTTTGTTTATTTTATAACGAGTTTCATTGAAGTCACTGCTTATGATATGGTACATCATATGATATGGTACTACTGTGAGTAACAAATGTAATTAAAAATAATCAATATAATATTGCATATATTCTTCGCAACAACGTTAACATCAAATATAGAGGAGCAAAAAAAGATCTATATGAAGTAGTGCAGAAACCTCACAGGCAAGTAATGCATTCGCGTATGAGGTGATGCTATTTTAATAATATGTAGTTAATAGGATGGGTTGAAACACTGGTCACGTGATTTTTGTTAAATGCTTCTAATTTAACCGTTTCGACATAATTTGATTATTTTACGTGTTACATAGACGAACAAAGATATCTAGTAAAGAAATAACGTAGATAAACCTTTCCTTAAATGATATTTAACAGCAGGCTTTCTTTGCAATTTTCGCGATATGTCTACCAATAGTAGCCTATCCAGTCGGATGAAGTTCGGCATTCGTGCATGAGATGCTAGGATTTGCATTCAGATTTTTAAAATAGCGTTGATTTGTTGGCGCCTATAGTTACACTATACTGTAGTTCAATATTAAATTTTTAAAAATGTAAATATTAAGAAATTGCTCTATAATAAAAAATATAGCTTTGAGATGCATTTCTGAACTGCGATCGGAAATCTCCGAGTGGATAGGCTGCTCATGGTAAACATCGAACGATCATGTGACCGGCGTTTCAACCCTTCTATTAATTTATCTATTATATTAATTATGCTATTACGTCTCATACGCGCCAGCATTATTTACCTGTGAGGTTTCTCCAGTACTTCATATAGATCTTTTTTTCTCTTTCTCTATTCGATGTTGTTGCGAAGAATATATGCAAATCTTTTAAAGTAGGCTAAGTTTATTATATTGATTATTTTATACTTGTTACTGACAGTAGTTGAGCCCCCTGTGATCATCCTTGATATGTTTCTGTTTACATGCCTTACAAAAAATAGCTTAAATATAGATGATGCGCGGCCAGGATAAGACATATTAAATACAAACGTTCTCTGATCAAATATTTTATTTGACGAGCTTTCGGCACAACAAGTTCGTTGCATAAGCCGCGTGGAGTATCAGACCTATAATAGCCTTCAACGGGTAACTAACTAAACAGATGGTGACCTATTTATATTAAAAAAAAAATTGCTGTACTAAATTTTATATAGTAACGACATAAATTCATAAGAAAGTCGTGAATGTAAAAATTTTAAAAAAACTTTACATATACGTACACGTGCACTCTTTCGTAGAAACTATGCAATTCATTCAAACATAAAATGAAAATTGATATAGAAAGCGTCAAAACTATAACAAAGTCATAACAAAAGGCGGGAAATTTCCAGCCGTGAGTGAATTTGCTCATACGTCATCATTATATCATTTGATTGGACGACTTTTGTTTCACGTGTGAGAAAATTGTTTAGCTCTCCTATAATTGGCCTATATGCATTACGAAGCGAATTTTCTCACGAGTAAATCCATTTGGAAAACTCTGGAGTATCCGTGTAATAAACTGTTAGCTCACTCATTCAGAAAATGTATGCATTTCCATAACAATGTATAAACCGCAAGAAAACGCAGCATTCAATTCAAATTTCGATTTGTTGCAAATACTTCCGTCTCCTTGTGCAGTGTAGTTCATTGTGTAAAACGCTGCGCACTATATTGCTAAAATCCATTTGGTACGCTTTTCAACTTCCTGAAGCAGAATGGCAAGTTCTCAACAAGATGAAGACTGGCAATCGACAAAGGCGATAGTGTTAGAACGAAGCTGTCATATGTTTAACAATCCACTTATGAGCGATATTGAGTTTACTTGTGATGGGTCCGAGAGGAAAATCGTCGCGCACAAATACGTCTTGGCCACAAGTAGCTCAGTATTTTATAAGATGTTTTATGGCAAACTGCCAGAGACGAAACCATGTGTTCATTTGGACGATATTAATGCAGAAGATTTGGAAGAATTCATACGATTCATTTACACTGACGAATGCAATTTGACAACACATAATGCCATGTCAGTGTTGTACTTAGCCAAGAAGTATATCGTGTCTTCGCTTGTTCAGAAATGTATTAAATTTCTCGAAGCCAACCTCGCTGCAGAAAATGCTTTTACAGTCGTGCAACAAGCAATTCGATATATCGAGGAAGATCTTGAGAAGAAATCCTGGGATCTGATTGAATTGCACACATACGAAGCTGTCACTTCTGACGCCTTTACTAGCATTGATCAAGAGACTTTAGCAAAGTTACTGAAGCGAGAATCGTTAAACGTCAAAGAGGTTGATCTTTTCAATGCAGTCTTAAAATGGAGCGAAGCAGAATGTTCGAGGAAGGGAACAGAAGCGAACACAAAGAACAAGCGAACTGTCTTGGGAAATGCTATTTATCAAATTCGTTTTGCTTCTATGACCCTTCAAGAATTTGCTTGGAATACAGCCGACTCAGACCTACTTACCGCAGACGAAATGATTTTCTTTTACCAGAATTTTAGCGGAGTAGAAAGAGTGTCCGAAGTGTGGAACATGTCAGAAAGGAAAGCAAAGAAAGAAACTTTTCTAAGATGCAGTAGATTTGCTGGACATGGAAGTTTCGTATTTGATGAATGTAAGCCACTTGCGCACGCAATAAGTGTATCGTTTAGTAAGCCAGTGAAAATCCACGGTGTTCGTTTGCTAGGCGAGGCAGGGAAGAAATACGATGTGCGATTAGAGGTCTACTCTCAGATCATCGAAAATAAATTTCGTTCACACGAGGATAGTCCTGGCATGTCTGGGGTTGACGATAGTCCTGGCATGTCTGGATTTGATGTCATGTTGAATCAAAGTTTAAGCCAATGTTCCTGTTCCTTTCAAAGCCACCATAAGTGCCAAGAACCAAGTTATGATTTACCACGGATCGGATGGTTAAAAGACTGTAGAAATGAATGGTGTTACTATAAAGTTCTTCGATGTTCCAGAGCTAAAACATGGGCTAACGTCTGTGGAACGAGGTCAATTTCATCAAATTATTTTCAGTATAGTTACTTAACATGAGACACATTTTTCTTGCGGTTTTCAAAACAAATATTCACTGTAACGCCATATATAGAATTTACGCATATATATTGAGGTGGAATTGGGGGGGGGGGGGCTGGTACCAAATTAATTAAAATTGAGACGTTCTCAGACCAAATTATGTTAATAGTATAAACCTATTAGTACTCAGTAGTAGGCTATCATATATCGTGCGTTCTGATTGGCTACGCTACTAGTAGGTTTTACAGTAGTAGGCTTTTAATGATAGCCTATACTAGTAGCAACAAGCGGCAAAGAGCGTGAGAGTCAATGGCCGTTTTTAAGTATTAATAATGGCCTAATTTTTGTTCTGGATTACACACAGTCAAAGACTCTTGGAAACTGCTGACACATACGGTAAAATTTTAAAGTTTTCTCAATTTTGCTCATAGTTTTGAACATAGAAGTGACAGGCGATTTTTTAATTTAAAATATATGCACAATGTTTGTTAATATTCCAACCAGAATCGTTGAAATTGAACAATACTTTGTAGGTACTTACCCCTATTTTCTCAACCTCTTTAGTATATGCCTGTTTTAAGAACGAGTTCATGTATTTAGCTATCATTTTAATTAATTAAAGAGTTTTTTTGTTTAAATGTTGAGATTTTGGCCGAGTTTGGTTTTCGCCTTTTTCGAGCCTTTTAATCGTCGAGTTTTTCGATTAAATTTTAATCCAAACTATTTAGATGATGGAAATGGTTTGCCTCTTTATGTTCCAGATAACGTCGTTGTATAACGACCCCTTACTATTATACTATTTTACGTCATGTTTTTAAACTTTTTTAAACTCACAATTCGTATTTTTCAAGTCATTCTTGGGAGTTCGCAACACTGAGTAGCTGCGAACAAGACCGAGGCGAACTGTCGCCAAAGGAAACCATTTCGTTCAAAAGTTATTATTTTACATAAAAATCAAGTAAAAAATCCAGTTTTCTTTATACGGTTTATACTAAAACAATTAGACAACTCAGCCTCGTTGTCTCTGAGGAAATAGTCAACTCGGCTTCGCCTCGTTGACTATTAGAGAGTTCGGCAAATACAAGGGCAACGGCAACGACAATATGGTTATCAACAATAGCATTGATCCTCAAAGACAAAGGCAAATGTAAATTACATGGTCTTAAGCGTTGTGCAATGCCGTAGTTGTTGAAACTAGTACGTGATTTGCATAATTGTCACGTTGCATGACTACGGCAACAGTTCATTCGTTCGATGTTATTTGAGGTGTTTTATTTGAATTCGCGGACTATTTTTACTTAAGGATACGTTTGAAAGAAACAGGAATACTTAAAGAGGCAAATTAATTAATTAAGTGTAGTGACGTATACTTTGGCTCAAATACAACAATATAAGCAATTATATTTCCGCCGTTGTCGTTGCCGTTCTAGGTTGCCGAACTCTATATTAGCTCATAGACAACTCGGCTTCGTTGTTTGTTGTTAATTATGTAGCGATCAATTCGAAACTTCAACATCACCCCGGCATATCCCGGGAATTTGACTTCAAGTCTTCTCCAGGGAGTAGGGAATTGGACGTTCTAGGTCTTCCATGTGGTGGGGCATTTGATAAGGGTGGGGAATTTGAACCGGAAGTCTTAAAATTTTGCTCGTTTTCGCGTGCTTCCTGCATGCACAGAAAAGACTTCGCATTGCCGTTGGCCGCAAATAAAGTTTTCTCAGATTTCGAGGGAAACGGCCTCAATTTTGTGAACAACTGGCTCAAAGAAACGGGCATGGAAAAGCTATGTGCTTCATTTGAAGGTATGTACTACAAAATTGTATAAAACTGTTAAATTTCCATAAGGTTTCCAAACTTTTTAATTGTATTTCGCTATCTTGCCGAAAAACATTTCCGTGTATTTTGTACTTTTTGTATTTACTGTTTCATAATTTTCATATGAAGTTGGGGCATTTGAACGCTTAATTTCTTGTTACAGTGGGGGCACTTGAAGGTATTTTTTGCACAGGGGGTGGAGAATTTGATCAGTCAAATTTCAAAAAGTTCAAATTCCCGGGGGGGGCATGTTGAAGTTTCGAATTGATCGATATATTATTTATAACGAATTTTTGAAGAGCTTTCGGCTCTAAGGATCTAAGGATCATAGACTCAATGCGCCTACTGACTCATAGTAAAAATGTACACTCGTCTAATGTCTACTGAAAGCATCTAATAGTCAGCAACGATTCGTTTTAAGTTGTCTTACAGATTTGAGATTTCATATATAAGTTCATTTGAAGATCAGTGGCAATGGTTCTATACTCTATAGACCGTTTAACACGAAAATAGATTGAACTATTACATGCATTGTACAAGCTCGTTCCCCGAGCCTGCGATCCTCGGGAAGGAACGTGAGGCTCTGGGATAATCCGTTTCAGGGAGGAATCTGATTGGTTGTTGATATGGAATGCGCAGTTCGGTCTTAGCCAGGATTGCTGGCTTCCGGCAACGGACTATCCCAGAGCCTCGCGTTCCTTCCCGAGGATCGCAGGCTCGGGGAACGAGATTGATGGATTGTATTGATTATATCAGTAATTAAGAAACCGTGCACTTAGACTAAACCCAATCATGTAATCAAGCAATTAAGAAGAATACTGTTGTGTAACTTGTTGTTTCTCGAAAAGAATGGAATATTGTTCCAGTAAGATTTTTTGGATAGTTGTCTTCATCATCTTTTGTCGCTGAATATCAAGATTCCATTATAAACTTTTCCCATAAATTGCGTATCGAAAAGAATGAATACGATTACAAAACAAAAGTTGAAGCAAATCACAAAAGTATTTCAAATTACGAAAAATGAATCAAAAGCGCGCATTAGTCTGAAATTTTAAACAATTATTGAATGACGTTTTTGTGATATCAGGAATTGCCAAGGTAGAGGTAAGTATTATATTATTTCGTTCGTTCATGTTGTTTTTTTCTTGTTTTATTCGTGTATTTGTACCTTGCAAACAAAATGACATACCTACCGCTGGCTCAACGCCTGCTAGCATACAACAGTATTATGTGTATAGGTTTCAATATTTAGCTGTTGGAATCAAAGAAGACACGTAGTGACTACAATCATTAATAATTCATGAGGAAAACACAAAGAAATATCATAAGCGTGTCGATCATATCCTTATATGCGATAGAGATTTCCCTTGATTTACATAAACTTTAGCTTTGATTTTCTGACTTACACATCGTATTTTTTGAAAATTTCTTCGCCGATGAACTTACTATAGATCGACTGTTCGTGTTTTATCGGCTTCGCTTTGTATCTTTATATCTGATTAAACACTGCAGCTCATGTTTTAAACAATACATCCAGAATAGAACGAACTTTTACTTTATGTATCGCTTGAAATTTGTAATTAATACAATACAAATTTATTCACTCGTCCCCAATGGGGTTTTCAGAGATAATTAAATTAACAAATAAAATTAATTCTAAGTTCTGAAGCAAGAAAATTTTAACTGACCTATTTTCCATCAATAACTAATTGCTGAGAAATTCATGCAAGAGTTGTTTCCTAAGACTACGTTTAAATCCTAAAATTGAAGTACAAAGTTTTAGATCATTGTTCAATGAATTCCAGAGGCTAACAGCTTGATCATTAAATTTTCGTTGCCCAGTCGTACTTTTTAATAGAGGAATGTCAATATTCTGGGAATTTCTAGTGGATTAGTGGATCACTTCGAGACGTCTGCGCGCGTCGTAAATTGGTTGGTCAGGTAGATTGATGCACAGCCAGTCATACATTTGTAAGACATGATGGCCCGACGATAATATAATAAGTCACTCACTGGCAGCCAATCTAAGGTCTTGAGGACAGGAGTCACATGATCGTAATTTAAGGGAAACTATTATTTTAAGTCACATGATCATAATTTAAGGGAAACTATTGAATTGGACTATCCGCGTACTTTTGACTTTTGTTTTAACAGCGGGATAATTCCCCAACTGAGTTCTAACCTTGCCAAAGTGTAAACTAAAATTATTGCGTGCAGTGAAAAGTTTCCAACTGCTCAAATAGACTACAGAGTACAGTGTTTTACACGTCCCAGTTTGAAACCATCGACATATTTGAGTGGGGAACCGTGGGAAATAGAATCGTGGGAAACAGAATGTGAATTGAAGTAAAAAACAAATTCCGAAAAGACGAGACATCTTGAGGGGGGAATAGGTTTTCGAATCGTCGGTTTTCACAGAAAATATTGTCCGGATTTCGGATCTGGCGAATGTTTTAACGGATTTCGGATCTTATTAATACAGCAGATTGCGGATTTATCTAATATTTTGGCTCGGATCGCGGATTTTGTTTCAAATCGGCGGATTTGTATACCCTATTCA